GCCCTACTTCCTGAGCCTTCCAGGTGGGCTCCAGGAGCCAGAGCTGGGGGAAGGCAGCCCTATAGGCTGTGGAACTTTGGGCTGGGTGCCTGCCTACACAGGGAAGGAGCCCATGGGCTTCTCCCTATTCCTGCCACTGGCCAGCTCCGTTCCTCACCCCACCTCCAGTGCTGTGTGGGGAGTGTGGCCAGAGGTGGTAGCTTCCTGGTGAGCCAGGGATGGGGCCTCCTGGGCTGTCTAGGCCTTCCTGGGGGCACTGCATCTATGCACAGAATGGTGGGGGGGGGGTGTCTCAAAACATCTTAAGCCCTCAGCTGACAGAATGGATGCCCTCTTGGCCAAGAGGACCCCAGAAGTACCCTGAGGCTGAGTTGCTGGCCAGAGAAGGGAGGTCAGACATGTCATCATGCCCCCTTCCCATCTTGGAGATGTCCTTTGTAACTCCCAGACAGGCCTAAGGCTGTACAGGTACAAGACAAAGCTTAAACCACACTTGCAGGATGTTTAACAAATCACACGATCTCTGGTTAGCAGACTTCCTTATCATAACTTGAAACATTCTACAAAACTCCATGTCTTCAACAAATTACAAGCCAAAGCACCTCTGAGCCCACCTATAACCTATAATCCCTGCTTCTATACATCTATGTTCTGCCTATTGGGGCCTACCCAATGCATACTTCCATGATTTACACACAATTCCTGTCCTCCTGAAATGTATGAAACACCAAACTGTGACCCAAACACAAGGGGCCACTTGCTCAAGTCTCCTTGGGTGTGGCTCTCCAGGCCCTGGTCACACATCTGGCTTAGAAGGGGAATCTTGCTGGACTAAATTATTTTACAGTTTGGGTTCTTTTCTATTGATATGACCAAGGTACCATCCCCAATGACACTGATGGGGACCCCAAGGGGCGAGTGCCACTCTGCCTCCGTCTCTGAGTGGGAGCAGCCACACAGATAGGATAGGAGCTGCCTCCATGGGGCTCCCTGTTGTCAAGGCACAGGCCTCTCTGTCTCACACTCGGGACATCCCTCCAGCTCTGAAATCCTGCCATGCTCTAGCCAGGGTGGTCAGAGCCACAGGGTGCTCTTTCTGCCACAAAGGCTACTCTGTTGGAGGGGGATAGGTCGTTGGCTTCCATCCCCACAGGCCAGTATATCTGGGGGGTAGGTGGGCCCTGGAGGATCCTCCCTGGCCTGCTCACCCAGATCTGACCCCACTATTCATGCCCAGCTGTCCCAGATGAGCAGACAGTTCAAGTCTCCCCAGGCCTCCAGTGACACTGAGATGGGCCTGGAGCTGCAGTCCTCCAGGGCACTCAGTCACCCCTGGACCCTACTGCAGGCAGCCTGATCTATCAGAAATGGTCAGGGAAAGGGTCCTGGAGCACCTCATCCTCTTGCCAGGAGGGTATAGCTTAGCAGCCTGGGCCACTGAGGGCGCCAGACCCCACCCCACCCACCCCCATCAGCATCGTCAGGTCACAGTCCTCAGAGTCAAAAAGGAAAACACCAGTGGATGTCTTGGAAAGGATGGCAAGACCGGGGGAATGTAAAACCTCAAACTTCAGTCAATCTGCCCACAGCAAGACTCCAGCCACAAGGCCACCATGCAGGGACTGCAGGGGAGAAGGGTGAGCAGGATCTGGTCAGAAAAGTACCTGACACTCCAGGTGAAACCATTTCTAACCCCCAGTGATGGCAGCTGTCTGTGGGACAGAGAGGATACCTCCTCCCTGCACTCCCATCAGCCCAGTGAGGAGGTAGGGGGGCCCAGCCCTGGGGGATGGGGACTCTCAGGGGCTGGAGCGTGGGGAGCCCTGGAGGATGGGGAACCTCAGGGGCTGGAGTGTGGGGAGCCTGTGAAGTCGGAACCAGCCCTGCGGACCATTCCTGGGGTCTCATTGAACAAACCTTGTATGCCATGATGGGGCAGTAAAAGACCGCAGCCTGCACTGTGGGCTGGTGGAAGAGACCCCCCATAGTGAATTTGCATTTAACATGTGATGTGTCGGGGGGCCCTAGACCCCATGTCCATTGCACACAGCCTGAGTGCACAAAGCTAAGGTGCCCACTAGGAGACATTGGCTGCAGCGATAGCCCTTACTCAGGTGTGGTCCTGGGGCCTGAGGCCGCTGTCCCTGGAAATATCATTTAAATGCAGAATCCCTGACCCATGGCAGACCTACAGATCTCTGTGCTAATCAGGTACCCTGGGGATTTGGGGCATAGCAAAGTTTGAGAAGCATGACCTGTTCACCCCCTTGCTGAACATGTGAGGAAACAGGCATGGAGATGCCAGTCTCATAGAAAGGTGGCATGAGACAGAGTCTGACATTCAGTCTGGGGTGCCTCCCCCTGCACCAGGCTGTCTCCTGCAAAGGGAAGTCTCCTCAGCACCTCACCCACACAGAATGGCTCTTCTCAGCCTGTTGGGGTCCAGGGCCCCCTTCTTCTCCCCTCCCTTCCACTGCAGTTCCACTGGGGCCACCCACAGTGCCCTCCCCCAGGCCTCCTGTGCCCCTCCCAGCTCCAGCCCTTGTTGATAGCCACAGATGCCCCAGGGGAGTTTTGAGTCCCTCCTGGCTGGTCTACCTCCCTACTCTGCCACTGAGCCTCTGTGTGCCAGATCTATGTGGGTCCCCGTGGCCTCTGGTCACTACATGGAATTGCATTCCTCCAGTGGGCAGAGGAAGCCACCCTTCCCCCACCTGTTCCACCCTAGCTCCAGAGTCCCCCACCATTCCTGGATCCATGCCCACGCAAACACCTAGTCAAGGGGGCCCAGTGACTCCTGCCCACCCACCCTTGCCCACTACTCTCTGGCCCCAGCCAATGACCCCCAGGTTCCCTGACAAGTGGCCCATGCCCACTGCCAAGGGGATGGTTCTGCCTGGCCCCCAGTTCCCCAGGTGAATGGGCACAGGGCAGGACTGTAACGTCCCAGCCTGCTTGGTAACAGCAGCCATGAGCCACAGGCCAGGGCGGGGCTGCTCTCTCACTGGCAGCCTCTCCCTCAGTTTCCTCTCCAGAGTGGGAGTCGCCCTCCTGTGGGTGTCTCAGGACACATGCGGGTCAGTTTGGGCAAGTGTTGGTGTGAAGGAGGCCATCTGGTCCCCACCCTCAGCCCCTGCCCACTCCCCCAGGGCTCTGACCCTCTGTTCAGGAGTGCAGAGAGAGCACACAGCCCAGGACAAAGCCCTGTCCTGCTGATGCAGCAGCTTCCTTGCGGAGAAGCTCTCAAAGGGACCCGGCAGGCAGGCTGTGGTTCAGAACTGAAGAGGCCTCTCAAAGGTTCTGATGCCTCAGACACTTTCCATCAGAGGCTATAGGGAAAGGCCCCAGACCCAAGGACAGAGGATGGTGGGACAGAGTGCCTGGTGCAGATGCCCAGCTCCCCGCTTCTTGGAAAGCCAGGGAGACTCAGTGCCCAGAGTAGGCTGGGCTTGGTGGCCATCCCGGGGTGGCAGGATCCGGACTCACATCGGACTTCCCCCACCCCTGCCAGGCTACCTTGCCTCAGAGGTCCTGGATACTGAGGGGTTGGGGCATTTGGGCCTTGCAGGTGTGCACCCAGTGGCCCAGGACTCAGGTGTCTGTTCACACCAAGCTCCCTGCCAGCCAGGCAGGCCCTGGGGCACAGCATGCATGGAGCCCACCCCATCCTAGTGGAGTGGACCGGATGAGGAGGTGCCTGCCCAGGGTGAAGTTGCCTGGTGGAGCAGATGGGCAGCAACCGGCCCTGGAGCAAGACAGCAGACTGCTGCCCAGGCCATGGGGACAGCTGCGCTGGAGGCCTGAGCTGGCTTGGCAGTGGGTGGGGACAGTGTGATGTGCCCCTGTAGGAAGGGGTGGCTCAGAGTGGACCCAAACAGCGATGCCACTGCATAGGGGCCTTCAGTCGGGAGGGCCAGGAAGGAAACCACGTCATCCATTTGAGACTTGAGGGCCTGCTCGCTGCGGCCATGGTTGCAGGGCATCCTCTTCTGGGCACAGCCATGAATGTACTCACCACAGACCTGCATTGGGGAGGCCCAGTTAACCAGTAAGCAGATAACCCACCGCCTCACTCCGTGGGACGGGTGCCACAAAGCCCCCAGAAAGGGGGCAGAGAGCCTATAAGGTGAACCCAGGTGGCCCCTAGGTGAGACCCCTGACAGTCTGCAGGAGAGCGCACACAGCTGTCACGGGAAGATCTTGCCAGGCACAAGAGACATCATTGGGGGCCCAAGGCAGGACCCTTGAGGCTGGCTCCAAGACCCGGGTGCGGTGGGTACATTCACACCAAGAGCTTGACCTGACCTGCCCTGCCTGCCACAGACCTGCAGAGAGCTCAGAAAGGTCCTTGCGGACACAGCCAAGGAGCAAATGGGCAGAAATGGTTGCAAAACTTGAACTTCAGCGCCTGGCTGAAGTTGGCCCTTGGGGGACACATCCAGAGATGTGGAGATAGGCCCAGCCCCAGCTCCCAGCCTGCCCAGGGCCTGTTCCGCCCACTTGCAGTTGCCCCTCTGTCCATTGGGGGCAGTTCTGGGCCAGGAGGAAGGAAGGGGCAGGGGAAGGGAGGGAGAGGTAAGGGGGGAGGGGCAGAAGGGGAAGGGAGGGAAGAAGCTGAGTTCTGCGTGGGTGGCAGGTGGCAGGTGGCAGGGTGAGGTTGCTGCCCCACTTCACAGACAATAAAACCAGGACCCAGAATAGGAGATCCTCCCTCCTCCACCCCGGCTAGGTCACCAGGGGCTTAAGGCAGGCCCTTCCCACAGGCACAAATACCCCTGAGACACCTTGCCCACCTGCCCCCTTGGAGAAGGAGAGATGGATCAGGTGGCCCTGAACCCCACAGCCAGATCCCTGCCCCTCTGTGTGGGCAGCAAGCCTGGGGCAGAAGTGGGGGCTCCTGAAGGCATCCTGGGACAGTTGGACACCCTGTACCCTAAAGCCTTCTGTGGCTTCTCCATGTCTTCCCCCAAGACCCACTGCCATGCAAAAGTCCCGGAAACTTAGGTTTGAACTGACTTTATTATTTTGTAAATGTGAATTTTACAAAGCGCTTTACAATTAATGTCACATCCTGTGTGATAGAGTCCCACTCTGTGACGCGGCTCTGAGCACGCTGGAAGCCCTCGGTTTCCCTGGTCGCGCAGATGTTTCTGTTTTAGCTATTGATACAGTGTCAGCCATGGCTAAAAAGTAACAGTCTGGAAGCTACCGAGTAACAGCTCGAAGGAGTGAGGGTGCGGGAGGACAGAGACTAAGGCTTCCGCCCTGGAAAAAAACCAACAAAAAAAGCTCGCATCTTCTGTGGCTGAAATCTAACTCAGTGGTGCTGTGAAACCTTGCTTTAGAGCACAGGGACAGTTTATTTTACTTATTTTTAACAGTCGTGAGTTACAGTACTACTTTAACCCCTAACAGACTCTCTCAAACCGTCTCCTCTGTAAAGTCTCTTCTTCCCAAACATTCCGTCCAAAGGATGAATGTTCTGTTTGCACCCAGTGCATCCAAATGTTCAAGTCAAAAATATTTATACATTTTATACTTAGGTTTTTTTTTTTTGTCTGCTAAAAATAGTATTGCAAGTTTTGGCTTCTTTTGACATAAAAATCACAATCATGTGCAAAATGCTGACAATGGAAGCGACTGATCAGGATAGAAGCAGGTTGTCCACTCTGAATGCTTTAGATTCTGCATAATTCTCCTTCCCCCCCACAAACAAAACAAACAAAACAAACAAACAAACAAACAAAAACCTCTGTCATTTTAGGAACATCTTGTACCAAGCCCTAAGTGCTCCAGGGAGGTCTCTCTCTCTCTCACACACACACACATACACACTCACACGCACACAGCCGGCTGGCTGACATAATGACAAATTTATGCAGCAGCAACATTCTGAAACAGTAGTTAAAGCCGAAGACAGCTATGAACTCCCAGTTCTGCGTTCAGGATTTACTGCAGAGGCAAACAGAGCTTTTCTCCGAGTTTTCAGTTGGTTAATGGGCCATAGGCCATTCCCACTTGCAGCAAAGACGTTTCCATAAAAATAACTCATCTGAGGGGAACCCAAGCAGGAAATGACTGGGGGGGGGGGCACACTGGGCCTGTGCCCAAGTGAGGGCTATTGAATGCGGACAGGTTAGGGCCAGACACGCCAGAGTCCCCTTGTCCCCTCAGAGGGGACCAGCCCTGTGGGCCAACCCTCAGTCTCCACCACCCACCTCTACTTTCTTCCAGCTCTAAACACAAACACCAAAGAATGAGTTTTCATGGAGAAATAAGACAGCCCCCTGCAGTCCCCAACATCATGACACCTGGGCAGGGTCTGCTTGCCTGTCATTCACAGCTCCATCCACATTCAGGGCAAAGACAACAAAACCAAACACAGACTGAAGCAAGGACAGCTCTGGCGCAGACGTAGTGCGGAACACAGACAGAATTCAAGTGCCGAGGACGCCGGCCGGTCGGGCCCGCCAGGCTCACAGTATCTGTCCCAACTCCCAGTGCTTCTGTGGACCTTTGCTCTCTGCCAGCTGCCTCTGTGGCCTGTTTCCTCAGGGAGGGCAGCCAAGGGCAGAGCTGGAGAGGGTGGGGTGGGGTCTGGATCCCAGGCCGGCCACTCATCACCCCTGCAGCTCCAATGTGGTCTAGTCCCCCTGTCCTCCTCGAAAAGGTGCAGATAGAACTCAGCTCTGAGAGACTGTGTAGTGTATGCGTATTGCTAATGGTCAGGCCTAGGGGCAGTGGTGCAGATGCAGAAATACTGACGGGTGCTCTCTTGCCTACAGGGTCTGGAGGAGTCAGGGTCAGGCTTGCAGGACAGGACAGCCCCGGATTCTGGAATTATTCATCTTGTAAACAGAGGAGGAGGGAGGGTCTGGTTGTCTTAATTGATTTTCCTTGGGAAAAATGATCAAAAGATGCTAAGGCACTCTGGAAGGCCCCCCGAGCCCAGGCCCACCACTGCCCCGCGGGGCATCCGGGGTACGGAGGGAGCACCCCAGCAGGTACAATCGTCAGCCGCAAACGCTCACTCCTGACCCACAGCTGCCACCGCGGGATACATTAGTGCAAAACGCTCAGCCTGGCCCACCTGGGGCACAGGGAGAGCTCAGGACCCATTCACATTAAATTATTATTATTAAGTCTTACCTATAGCTCTTGCCTTCCTTACCCAGAACAACAAAACAGACGGCGATTATAAACAATTAAGGAACAGAGGTCACGGGACATTGTGCTAGCCTGAGTGGCGGTCAGGCATCCTCTGTGCAGCCACTGCCTCCCGCAGGGGCTGGCTGCACCCTCTAGTGGGGGTGCCCACTTTGCATGGAGGCGGAGAGACGACCCTCGTGTCAACAGCCAGAACAGGCAGGCCCGTCTCCCACAGGTCCCCAGTGATGCTCAAATTGAAGTGCAAATTTGGGTGGGGGCAGCAATGAAGGGAAACTCCAGAGGGGACCAGGGTGCAGCCCCAGCTCTCATCTACCAACTCCTCCCTACTCCATGACCTCCTCCCAGTGCCTAGGAAGGTTTGGTCCTGGTCCCCAGTGGGCCCCATCCCCACCTGGGCCCATGACAGGGGAGGAAGAAGCAGGGAGAGGCCCACCTCTGGGCCCTTTGCCCCAGGAGCACAGGCCCCAAGGGACAGGTGGGGGCTGAGGCTGCCCACACAGTGCCTGCCCATGGTCCCCCCTTTGTAAAGGCACCACATCTCTCTGGAGGGCAGGCACATGCTTGGCCTGGTGGGAGGCCCAGGAGGCTGAGTACAGACTCAGGAGGAGGCCCCCACAGAGGACCCCCTAGGCCTCTCCACACAGGGAGGGCAGCATCAGCAGGGGTGAGGAGCCCACTGGGAAAGCTGTTCCCACACCAGGGCACAGCACAGGGCCTCCCACTATGGGGCTCCACAGGTCTTGGGGGGTACGCTCAGCCTCACCTATCCACCTTGTGCACAGGGAGGGGAATGGGCCACAGCCACCCTTGTCCCACTCACAAAGTAGGGGGTCAAGTGCCAGGCGGGCAGATGGGCAGAAGGGAGCAGCAGACCTGCTGCTGGGTGAGGGGGTCCTCTGGCCACACCTGGAGAGCTGCCTGTGTCACTAAAGGCAGGAGGACAAAGGCACCTAGGCAAATGGCTACACCAGCATGTCCCACTACCGTGCGACCCTCACCACTTAGGAAACAATCAAGCTTCAAAGTGAGTGCTCTGGCCTCAGCAGGCTCGTCCTCCATAGGCCCTGCTGCACTGACCCCTCTCCCCGCCCCGTGCATCCCTGAAGCCCTGGTCCCCTTCCAGCGTCCACACCTGCAGACCACACCGTCTTAGGCCTGTACCTGCCACCCACCTGAGGGCCAGGCACCCTCAGAGGCACATGGCATGGGGGCCTGCTTGCACTCTGGCTAGCCCTGGCAGCCTGTTCCCAGCTAGCCCCACATGTCCTGGCTGCACTTCCCCAGGACCCCCTCTGCTCCCATTGGGAGATGAGTGAACCCTGACCCAGGCAGGCACCCAGACTGCCGGAAATGACCACCCCCAGCCACAGTGGGCTGGGCACAGGGACACCCAACCCTCTGCAATTTTTTGCTCTATTGGGTCTGACAGTTTCTAAACCATATATGAAAGAGGTCTAAATTACAAGAACAGAAAGACAGAGAAGCATAACCCCGCGGTGGCTAAGGAGGCGGCGGGTGGTGGGCCATGTCAGCTGCACACTTCCATGGTGGGGGGCCAGTGGCTGAGAGGCCGCAGAGCTGAGAGGGGTCCAGCAGAGCAAGAACAGTGCATGGGGGGCTGTCGGTGCACACTGTCTGCCCTGAGAGTGAGTGGCCATAGCCGCAGCCCCACCACGGCTCCCTGCACATGAGCCCCACACAGGAGGGGAGCTCTGCGGGCTTGGCCCCCGACTCTCAAGGAGAGGGAAAATCAAGGAGTTTGAGTCCCTGGGGACCCAGCCTCACCCATCCCCCAAAGAGGGCCCACAGGCAAGGAGCGGGGTGTCACAGAACGCACTCCCCAGCCTATGGCCACCGCTGGCCCCAGCTCTGGCTTCTGGGGTAGGTGAGGGAGGGGCGGGGTGGGCACCAGGGGCCTGGTGGCCTCTTGCCCCCTCCCCAAGGAGGGGGAAGCTACAACTTGGAGATTAACCTCCTGAATATCAAAAGGGAACCCTGGGACCTTTCTTGCAGTGAGGTCCCCAAGGCCTAACTGTTTACAGTATAATGAATGCATTTGTTTCCTTCATCGATTTTAAATACAAGCAGAATAAAAATCACATTTTTCTCAGGCAACAGTAGCAGTTCAGTAGGTAAGTGGCTCGATCACATTGCTGTATTAGTAATGCATGCAAGCAGCTCTGGTGCTCTGTCCCTCAGGAGGCGCTGGTCCCTTACAAAGTCCCCGCGTAGGTGCCCTCAGGCCTCCTGGCTGTGGCCACGGGTGTCTGGGGCCTGCTGGAGCTGGTGCTGCCCTGCTCAAAGGGCTGGTGGGGGCTCTGGCCATCAGCGGGCAGCGGCTCAGGGGCTGCTACCTCCTGGATGACTGAGCCGGCCCCATCTACCTCCTCTCCAGCCTCGAAGGCAGGGTTGGTGGCACTCAGGTCGACATTCATGGCGTCAGTTCTCAGCGCCACGATGGTGGCGGCGTCGCTGCGCCGCTCAGCATAGATCCGTTGCTCGAACACCTGTGCTGCAGTGGGTGGGAACTCGGCGTCGAGGGGCACACTGGCAGCTGAGGCCCCCATGACTGTGCGGTACATCTCCACGCCTTCCGGCAGCATCGACTTGATCTTGGGCAGCCAGCGCTTGCGGACCCGGCGGGCGTTGGTACACATGTCTGCAGCAATCACGTTCATCTCACTCTCCTTGAAGCTGGGGGCGAAGTTCTGACAGTATACTGCAAGGACAGGGCAGCAGGGAGGGCATGAGGGTGGCCTCCTGCGAGACCACAGAATCATGATGCCCTAGACCAGCCTCACCGGTAAGGCCCCTGTACTGGAGTGGCCACTCCCGAGGCCAGGTCTTTGGAGATGAGAGGACACTCCCCACTGCCCAGCCAGCAAACCCCATGTTCCTTTGCTACACCTCTGTCTAGTTAGCTCCAGCACCCTGGCCTCCTGTACCCCTATATCAGCCTTCCTATCTCCTGCTGAAAATTAGGGCTGATCGGAGGGTCCTCCCACAGAAGTAGACAAGGACTACGCCTACTGAGAACAGCCCTGTCCCATCCCAAGTGATAGACAACCGCCACCACCATTCTCCACTGTCCTCACTTTCCCATATGGGTCAGACCTGGGTCTCCAAATGCCACCAGAGCCACGGCAGGTCCCCAGGCAGCCCCAGCCTCCCCCTCCGGTACCTGGTGCTTTGGGACTGTAATTACTGACTGCAAAGGCCCCTCTTTGCTTTAAAACAGAATTAGCCTCACAAGGGATTTTTTTAAGCAAGAAAACAAGATAGTGCCTCTGGAGCTGGCAGCCCCAGGAGGCTGTGACTATGGCTGGCCTGGCTGGGGAGCAGTGGCCTCTCCCATGTCTGGGGTGCAGGGCAGGCGTGTGCCCTACCATGGCTGCCTCCCCCCCCCCCAACAAGCCCAGGAGCCAGAGGCAGAAGCCGGCCCGAACAGATGGCAAAGCCTCAAAATAACTGAGAAATGTAAATAAGGGGTTTTGTTCAAAAAGGAAAATTAGATCTATTTCACATATTAAAATAGTTTCGCAGCTGAATTCATCACACTTGGAAACCTACCAAGAACATTAGCACCTCGAGACCTGGCTTCCAGGGCTGCTCTTTTCTCCTCTTCTACCCCACTTGGCACCCCAGGGCCCACCCTGCTTTCCTGAGGCCCCGCCCTGCCCTAGAGACCCCAGGCCTCACATTTCACAGCGTTCAGGACTCGGCTGTCCAGTGGCTTGCGGCTGGGGTCGCTGGTGGATGATCGGATGCCGGTGCCGCAGCTGTTGGCAAGTGTGTTCCTGGAGGAGGGAGGTCGGGGCAAAGTGAGGTGGCCGGACCAGAGCAGGCTTCCCTATGCCTCACCTTGCTGGGAGGTCACCTGGCCTCATGTTCAGGCTGGCGCAGCCCAGGGGTTGTGAGCTGGGGTAGGGAGCAGGCCCAGCCACCCTCTAAAGGTGAAGGACAGGCTTCCCGGGCTGAGAAGGTCATCTGGGTGATGGGTCTGCAAAGATGACCTGATCAGTCCTAAGCCGTGTCCACAGGGACCTCATCATCTGAGCAAGTTGCTTTGCCTTGGGGGACTCGTCTATATAATGGAGCAACTGTGGTTCTTTAACTTGTGGGACCACAAGCCCTTTGTGAAATGCCCGGAGAGCCAGACCCTCCTCGAGACCTGTGTCTGGGCCTATGGGGACCCCCCACCCGCTCGCCCAGGAGCACTGGCCTGTCCTGGGCCATGGAGAAGCCGCCAAGGCATAAGGGCCTCAGGTGCTGAAGCCCTGACAGTCAGGAATCACAGCTGAAGGAGACAGGGGCCTCCCGCAGCCTCCTCCCCTGTACCCACCTGTCAAAGAAGGTAGCCAGGAGTCTCCGAAGTAGGACCTTGTGCTTCACCCCTGCACAGAGGTGACAGTTCATCAGCTGTCCACGTGTGATGTAGACACCAGAGCCTGTGGTCGCCAAACATATAATGGTGAGGCCCTGGGACCTTCCCGGGGGAGGAACAGGTGAGGGGAGGATGGGGTAGGGGCAGCCAAAGCTAAGGTTGCAGCCCAGCATCCCCCGCCTCCCCAGGGCTAGGTAAAGCCAGGAGCCCCCCACCTTTCCCAAGGGAGCCCCGAGCTCCGAGCTTTCCTCACTGCATGGAGGCCCTGTCAGCAGGACATGGCTGGCCCCAGCCACCTTCCTGGGAACACACTTCACGGGGGCCATCGTTGGCATTGGTTTGGGGAACACTTGGCCTCTCCACTCTCTCCCTGCCCAGGTCCCAAGAGCCTCAGGCTGGGCCGGGGGTTCTGGCTGTGGCCTCAGTGGGTCCAGCACTGACCCTTCTGGGTGCATTTGGAGGGGAAAGCCAGTGTGGGGCAGGGGGCTGGGGGCCCACACTATGCTGTTGACCCCAGGAAGCCCTAAGTGCTTGCCAGGGTGCGGATGAGCCAGGAACTGAACCCACAGAGGGATGGGACCCCACCAGGAGCAAAGGGGGCTTTGGAAGGAGCTAGAAGGCTGCCTGACTCCACAGAGGGAAAGACAGTGTAAACGTTTGAGTGGCGCACAGGAGACCTGTCCAGAGTGTCGTCCTATCTGGGTCTTTCTCTACCCTCTTTTATGGAGCATGCCCTAAGCCTTCTCACCAGAAGAGTCACGGTGGCAGGAAGACTCTAGGGACCTATTCATGCCAAGAGAGCCCTCAGGAGTGAGCGGTCCCCTGTAGAGGTTGCCACCTCAGCCCCAGGGCTCTTCCCTGGTCCTGTTCTGTGGCTGGCTAGTCTTCACATCCATGAAGACACCACTCCCTGAAGGAGGCTCTAGATCAGGGTCCCATTGCCTGGCCCTTCCACAGATGCTTCCCCGTCAGGCCCTGGGCTGGCTGGATACTCCTGAGCCTGATGCTCTGAGCCACTCTCAGCCCCAAACACAGGCTGCTGCTGCCTCAGCAGGGATAGCGGAGGGCACTCCTTCGCAGGCCCAGTTACATGGAGACCAGGCCTCTTGGCCCTGGTACCCGCTCCGGTAGCCTGGCCAGCCAGATGATCCACTACAGCTGACTGGGCTCCCTGCCCCACCCCAGGTCAGGGCAGGCCAGGAAGCCGCTCTCCTGTAGGATGGAAAGCCCTGTGGGTTGAGGGGCCCCAGGCAGGCTCCCGGGGGAGGGGACAGCACCCAGTTCGAGGCCTTGCCCAGGGACAGGCCATGTGGGGTGCCAGATAGGAGCAGGGTGGGTGGCTCGCCAGGACCACTGGGCATTGCAGCCAAGGATGGACCCAAGGGCCTGCCCAGCAAACCAAGGGAGAGAATTACCAGAAAATGTCTCGAGAGCCATCAGAGAGGATGGTTACACATCAATTTGCATCCTTTTGCTGACCGGCCTTTAAGACCTACAAGGAGCCAAATGAATCCTAACACTGAGAAGATGGCTCTTTGGGTAAGACCGGGCCCTGTGGGAGCCTGTCCTCTGGGGAAGACACTCAGTTCTGACTGTAGCCGTTTGGAGCCCGGCTGTCACCCCCAATGTGGCAACTGTATGCTCACAGGAGGGTGGGGCTGGTAAACTGTGCAGAAGATGGCTTGATCTGCAACCTAAATTAAAACACATCATGATTGCAACCCCTGCCAGAAGCCACCGACCCAAGGGACTCAATTAAAATGCTAAATTAATTCAATTGAATAACTCCTCTTAATGACACATTCTTCAAAAAGGAAATTAGAGGAAATTTAAGATGTTCTATCCTCTTTTTTTGACTAATTGGTGATGAGTACATTGTTCACTGCTCTGAAAAAAAAATAAGCAAGGACATTTGCATACAATAGGGGGCGGGAAGAGGCCTCACCTGCCACCAGCTCCAGCTTCTCACCAGGGTCCCCCTCCGAGTAGAGCTTGGGGTGGCAGCGGTATCCGATCTGGCTGATGAGGCTGGCAGGCAGGGCCACCAGGTCGCGGCGGATAAGGACGCAGGAACGGCTCTCCAGCGGCACCGGCTCCGGTTTCTCTTGCACTATGGGCCCAGAAGTGAGGGACTCGGTGAGGACAGCATCTGCTAAGCTGCCCTCTGTGACCCCTGGGGCCCTCTTGCCCCCAGCTCTGCCCTGGCAGGGGAGCCGCAGTGAGGAAGTGAGCAGAAGATGCAGGCACCAGCCCTGCCGAGGGAAGGGGCCTCGGGGGCTGGAGGTGGCTCCTGGAGATGCCCACTGCACAACCAGGCCGGAGAGGAGGGAGGGCTCCAGGCTGTGGGTGGTGACAGGGCATGTGCACAGAACAGGAGGAGGACAGCCGGCAGAGATGTTGAGGCAGCACAGGGGCTGGGCCCTGCAGGGTTTGCACTGCTCCCCCGGTGGATGGTCACTTCTGCTGTCAGGAAAACCGTGGATTAGAGGGAGGCTGGGAGCTAGGAAGGGGTCCAGGGCCTGTCAACCCAGCTCTCTCCTTAAAGCAGCTCCATGAGAAAAGCAGCTGGGGTATGACCAGCTGTGCCACAGGTGAGGGATATGGGGGCCCTGGCATGTCCAGGGACACAGCCCTTCAGACCTCACACACCCGGCAGGAGCAGTGTCACTGGGATGGCCCCCCGCACTCTAGGGATGTCCTGACAGGCCCCTGTGGGGGACAGGCAGCAGTCTGGTCCCTGCACCTGCCACTGCAGGGGTGCACAGCACTGTACACAGATAGGCCTCTCGGGGTCCCTGTGCCACGTGGCCAGCTGTCACCGCTGATGTGACCCCAGCCCTGCCGCAGGGACTCTCTTGAGCAGTTTGGCTGGTCCGGGTCCCCTGCCGGACTCTCTGCAGTCAGGCTGGGGGTGCGTGCTGGTGCTCTGCGGGGCAGGGCCTCCTACCATGCCCATTTGCTGGACATTCAGCACTGCAGGTGCCATGAAGAGATGGGGCCCTGCCAAATCCTGCCCAGCACTGCCTGCCTCCCCCTCATTTCCTCATTGTCCTTTCTGCCCTGAGTCCCTCAGGCAGGATCTGTGCAAGGCCAGCAGGGTTCCAGGGTGAACCCCAGTCCCCCAGAGCAGCCCCCAGGTACCCACGTGGCACTCTGGCCACCAGCCTAGCACTCCTCACACAGGGCCTGGCAGGCTGCTACTCAGCCACCTTGCCTAAGTGTGGGCTGCCTCCCTCGTCCTGGTGTCCCCAGCACACAGGTAAGAGCCTGGGAAGGGCTCCTGCCTGTGGTCAGAGGTCCTTGCTAAGAAGTCACACCGCTCTGAACCGGGTCCACTGAGTGCCCAGGTTTCCCTCCTGCCTGATGACAGGAGGAACCTCGCAGTCTGGAAAAGCTTCTGCTGCCACTTTGGCCACAAGATTGGGTTATGCTCCCCAAGGGTAGGGTGAGGGTCCTTCACAGCCCCAGTGGAGTTGAAGCCCTTGGGCAGGAGCGGGTGGCTTATAGGATGTCCTGGTGCCAGGATGCCACATCCAACAGGCTCAGGGCAGGTGGCTCAGACCAGATCTTGCCCTGTGGCTGCTCCAAGATGGTCAGAGGCAGAAGTACCTGCCGCGAGGTTGGGCCAGCACCCACGGTCCCTCCTCATCCTGGCCACATCTTCAGGAGTGACAGAAAACTTCTCAGGAGGATAGCTGCCTGGGGCATGGGGGGACCTAGGACGGAGGGTGGCAGGGGTTCACCCCAGTTAGCTTTACTCCTGTGGGGGAGGGGTCAGCATCTGGGTTAACCATGTGACCCCACAAATCTTAACATCCACTTTAAGAGCCACCACAGGGGACGCAGGGAGGGTTCCATTCCTGAGGACCAGGTGGGCTGGGGGTGCTGGGACCACCTGCAGCTCTACCCCCCACTGTGTATCCTGAATCCCTATTCTGTCATGGTGCTGAGACCTGGGTCCTAGGGCCTACCGGCCCCGCCCTGCCCCACCCCAGTGGCAGCAGCTCGCTCAGCAGTGCCTGAGGCAGCCTCTGGTCAGCTGCAGAGATAGAGCTTCCCAAAGTTACAGACACTTAGTAGAAGCCTACGTGGTAGGCAGAGGCCACCAACGAGCATTTCCCATGGGCAAAGCACAGAGAACCTTTGCGGCCCAAGGTTGCCGGGGGCCTCGGGGAACACAGCACAAACACTCCAGGTGCTATTTTAAAACGTAGGTAATTACCAGTCCCACCCCCGCACAGCCTGCCTGATTACACACGCACAGGGGCAGGGAGTGAGGAGCAGCATTTACACAGAGAGGCGGCAGCAGAAACGCTCCTTGTGCATCCTCCGGGATGTTTTTCTCAACACCAGAAGCTGTTTGCACTCTGCCCGCCCCAGCCCGGCTCCCTAAGAGCCAGAGACTGTCAGCCGAAAAAACCTCTTCTATTTCTGCCTTGCCGTGTGCTGGATACTGCCTCTGGCTAAAAATATCCTGAGCCAAGTTGTAGTTCATCCACAGAGGTGCTCTGAATTTCTTCCTGCACCCCATCCCTCCCCTGGCCCCCAAGTCACCCTTGGCAGGAGCTGAGCTTCAAGAGCCAAGTTACCACTGGGTTTAATGAAAACCTCAGGAGAGACTGGTCCCTGGCGACCTCCGATGGGCCATTCAGAGAGCCCACAGCACTCGATTCCCAAGGCTGGGAGTCGCCCAGGGGTGTAAGCAGGGAACAGACCTTCTGAGCCTGGGTCTCAGAACTGTCACCCCAGGACTGGCCACTGCAGTGGGACAGCTCCCTTTGCCATCAAGGGCCCTGTTGATGAAACTTTGATTTTTAGAATCATGCTTTCCAAATATTTTGGCTCTGTGATATTTGGTGAAAAGTTAGTGAAAGAGCAATTAACTGTTTGTATGGAGGTGTGAGTAACTGCTCTCCACACAGAAAAGGTGAGTCACAGTCACGATAGAGGTACCCAGAATAGCAGCTGACCCAGGCAGACAGGGCACTGGCTGCTGAGGGGAGGGGGCAAGAAGCCCCCTCTGATCACATCAGTCAGGCAAACACAGGACTTTTTGGGTCAGGGGACTTTGGGTGGATCTGGAAGGAGCTCCTGCCATTCCCAGCCGGGTGGAGGCCCTACAGAAATAGCCAGATCCCATGGGGCAAAGCCTGTGTGGTCTGCGCATGTGGGGCGTGCAGTCCTCAGATCCAGAGACACAGCTGAATTGAGGGTTCTGGGCCTAGGGAGTCCGTGTTTCGTGAGATAGACTGTCAGGTTGGGAAGATGGAAAATTCTGGAGCTGGAGGGGGTGATGACTGCGCAGGCTGAACAAGCTTCATGCCCCCAAGCTGTACACTTAGAAATGACTTCATTGTGGCCAGTGCAGGGGCTCACACTTGTAATCGCAGAACTCGGGGAGGCCGAGGCGGGTGGATCCCCTGAGCTCAGGAGTTGGAGATCAGCCTAAAGTAAGAGAGAGACCCCCATCTCCACTAAAAATAGAAACATTAACACTGTGGCAGACATCTGTAGTCCCAGCTGCTTGGAAGGCTGAGGTAAGAAGATTGCTTGAGCCCAAGAGTTCGAGGTTGCTGTGAGCTGTGATGAAGCCGGGGCACTCTACCTAGGGTGATAGAGTGAGACATTGTCTCAAAAAAAAGAAATGACTTCCTCAGTTGAGTTTATGTGTGTTTTATGGTGTGAAGTTTTTTAAAGGGGGTGAGAGTGAGTGTCAGCAGGTCATGGAGGTTTGAGGGGGAACCAGGTCCCACTGGCCTCAGCCCTGACACTTCTCAACCTTGCCAGTCACTAACTGGGGACGTGCAGGGAGCTCTGGATCCCTCCACTCCAACACACCAAGACGCTGCCCCACTGGCAGGAAGGCCCAGATACTGAGTGTGTCCTTGGGGACTTACCCAGGGTCATCATCAGAGACAGCTGTGGCAGCCCCAGCTGGAGCCCCCACCAAGGGATCCCACACATAGTGGCTCCTGGGGTGGCCAGGAGGCCTGGTAAACCCCACGGTGCCATGGGGTGCCCTCCAGGGAAGTCCATGTCATCTGCTAAAACACAGAATAAGTAAATGAACCTGTAGTCCTTAATTGTGTAGAAATATACATCTTAAATCCAAATGCCATCCAAATTTGATAGAAAAAAGTGCTGATTCACACAGATTTTATGCAGGTCACTAAATATAAAATGTCTAATTTCGAATCAAAATATAAGAAACACCTCAAACAAGAAGCAGTACAATTACTCAAAGTACGCGCCTCAACCAGGGGCCCAACTTTGCCATCTTAACAGTAGCTGGTTTACGACACAGCCAAGAAGCCTGGACAGCACGTGTCTGTGAAACTACACAAGGCGCTGCACACAGCTTGTTGAGAATTCAACAGGTTTCCTTGCAAGAAGCGGTCCAGAGCCTGGAAGAAGTGGTGGTCAGTGAGCGTGAGGTCCGGTGCCCACAGTGGACTGCAGTGTTTCCAGGTCCTGCTTCTATAGTCTGACCAGTGCTGCTTGTGCAGCAGTGCGGTCTCCAGATGACCATCCTATCTCCAGCGACCAGTCTCAGTGGCTTACTCCCAGCACCCGCCCCATGTCATCTAGCAGGTTGCAGGAGACGTCTGTTGTAATCGAATGACCAGGTTTCACAAAGCCATAGTGGGTAATACCAGTGCTAGACGACCATACAGACACCACTAGCTCTTTTGATGAATATTTGGTTTTGGGGACTGTGTTTCACACTTTATCTAACCATTGTGCCAAAGGCTTGTGATTGTCATAAATAACCCATTTTCCATCACATGTAACGTATGAACGAGAAAGGGTTCAACTTTATGTCATGACAACAAAGAAAGGCAAGCTTTGAGACAATCTCTCTTCTGACGCTCATTTAATTCCCGAGGAACCCATCTACTCAGCTTCTTTACCTGCCGATTTGTTTCAGATGGTCCAGTGTTGTTGCCACAGTGACATCAGATCCTGCTGCCCATCCATGTGCAGGCTGAGGTGCATTCACCTCCACCCAGCTTCCAGCTCATCACCATCCACCTTGGACTCAAGTCCCCCATGTGGCTCATGTTCAAGATTTAAATCACCAGAATGGAGCTTCCCAAATCACTGGTGTCC